CCTCTGAATGATTTAAGTGACTTGACTTGGCACATGTTCACGCATGTAGTTGAAACAAATCAACATAGCCTTCACAATATTTATATTCATTGTGGATTATATCCTACTCATGCTTGCATCCAATGTTTATTAATTTTAATGCATGTACATGGCTGTTGTCGCTCTCTAGTTAGTCGCTTTCCAGTCTTTTGCTAGCCTTCACCTGTACTAAGCAGGAATACTGCTTGTACATCCAATCCCTTAAACCCCAAAGTTAATCCAGATGAGTCCACTATACCTTCCTATATGCGGTATCTACCTGTCGTTCCAAGTAAATTTGTATGTGCCAAACTCTAAACCTTCAAATAATCATCTTGTTTTGTATGCTCGAATAGCTCATGTATCAACTAGGGTTGTCTGTATCTTCCATGTTAGGCGGGTTATTCTCAAGAGGAGTGGACTCCGCTCCTCACTCACGAGATAAATGGCTGGTCACCGGGATGCCCAGTCCCATGCTTTATGCAAACTAAATCAAAATAATTGCAAATAAAACTCCCCCTGGGACCTGATGTATGTTGGAGGCACTCGTTGTTTCGAGCAAGCCATGGATTGGTGTTTGTTGGTGGAGGGGAGTATAAACTTTACCATTCTGTTTGGGAACCGCCTATAATGTGTGTAGCATGGAAGATATCGCCATCTCTTGGTTGTTATGTTAACAATGAAAGTATACTGCTCAAAATATTACTCACCTCTATTTCAAAACCGAGCTCTGGCACCTCTACAAATCCCTTCTCCCCTCTGCGAAGGGCCTATCCATTTACTTTTATGTTGAGTCATCACCCTCTTATTAAAAAGCACCAGTTGGAGAGCACCGCTGTCATTTGCATTCATTACTGTTAATTTATATTGGGTGTGACTATGATTGGATCTCTTTTACCATGAATTACAATGTCTAGTCAGTCCTTGATCTTTAAAGGTGCTCTGCATTTATGTTTTGCGGTCTCAGAAAGGGCTAGCGAGATACCATCTTGTTATATCATATTATGATTGTTTTGAGAAAGTGTTGTCATCCGAGATTTATTATTATGGCTCGCTAGTTGATTATGCTATTGATATGAGTAAACATGAGACCTGAGAATTATTGCAAAATATGGTTAGTTATAATCTTTGCTGAAAACTTGAATGCTAGCTTGACATATTTACAACAATAAGAGCAAACAGAGTTTGTAAAAGTTTTTCTTTATTTCTTTCAGTTTGTCAACTGAATTTCTTGAGGACAAGCAAGGGTTTAAGCTTGGGGAGTTGATACGTCTCCGTCGTATCTACTTTTCCAAACACTTTTGCCCTTGTTTTGGACTCTAACTTGTATGATTTGAATGGAACTAACCCGGACTGACGCGGTCTTGAGCAGAATTGCCATGATGTTGTTTTATGTGCAGAAAAAAAAAGTTCTCGGAATCACCTGAAACTCCACGGAATATCTTACAATAAATAATAAAAAATCTCACCAAAGATGAAGACCATGGGGCCCACACCCTTCTTGCGAGGGTGGGGGGCGCCCCCCCTCCCACCCCCTCGGGCGCGCCCCCTACCTCGTGGGCCCCCTAGAGACCCCCCGATTCCAACTCCAACTCTATATGACCGCTTTCGGGGAGAAAAAAATAAGAGAGAAGAAATCATCGCATTTTACGATACGGAGCCGCCGCCAAGCCCTAAAACCTCTCGGGAGGGCTGATCTGGAGTCCGTTCGGGGCTCCGAAGAGGGGGGTTCGTTGTCGTCGTCATCATCAACCATCCTCCATCACCAATTTCATGATGCTCACCGCCGTGCGTGAGTAATTCCATCGTAGGCTTGCTGGACGGTGATGGGTTGGATGAGATTTATCATGTAATCGAGTTAGTTTTGTTAGGGTTCGATCCCTAGTATCCACTATGTTCTGAGATTGATGTTGCTATCACTTTTCTATGCTTAATGCTTGTCACTAGGGCCCGAGTGCCATGATTTCAGATCTGAACCTATTATGTTTTCATCAATATATGAGAGTTCTAGATCCTATCTTGCAAGTCTATAGTCACCTATTATGTGTTATCATCCGTTAACCCCAAAGTGACAATAATCGGGATACTTACCGGTGATGACCGTAGTTTGAGGAGTTCATGTATTCACTATGTGCTAATGCTTTGTTCCAGTTCTCTATTAAAAGGAGGCCTTAATATCCCTTAGTTTCCATTAGGACCCCGCTGCCACGGGAGGGTAGGACAAAATATGGCATGCAAGTTCTTTTCCATAAGCATGTATGACTATATTCGGAATACATGCCTACATTACATTGACGAATTGGAGCTAGTTCTGTGTCACCCTATGTTATGATTGTTACATGATGAACCGCATCCGGCATAATTATCCATCATTGATACAATGCCTACAAGCTTTCCATATACTGGTTTACGCTTATTTACTTTCTCATTGCTATTGTTACAATCACTACAAAATACCAAAAACACTACTTTTCTTTCGTTACTCTTTTGTTACCGTTACCATCACTATCATATTACTTTGCTACTAAACACTCTGCTGCAGATACTAAGTTTCCAGGTGTGGTTGAATTGACAACTCAGCTGCTAGTACTTGAGAATATTCTTTGTCTCCCCTTGTGTCGAATCAATAAATTTGGGTTGAATACTCTACCTCGAAAGCTGTTGCGATCCCCTATACTTGTGGGTTATCACGGCTGCAAGCGCGCGGCCACCCTCGAGAAGCGGCGTTGCTTCCCGAAGCACCGGCAGTTATTAGCCTCACCGCCCCTCACCGCTCCCTCTCCCCATTCTTCCCCACTCTCCCAACTCTCACCGGCGGCGGCGGATCGGAGCAGAGGAAGAAGACCACCGGACTCCATCAGCGGCGACGGCAGATCGGAGCAAAGGAACAAGACCACTGGACTCCATCAATGGGGGGAAGCACTTCTCTCTCTTCAACATGCACGCTAGATTCGATCCACAGCGGAGGGGAATGGGGAATAGAAGTAGATAAGCATAGGTGTAGTTCATACTAGTTCATAGCAGTTCATAGGAGTTCATACATGCAAGATCGGAATGCATAAGGTAGATTTCGGGATTGGGGGATAGGGGAATAGGGGGAAAGGGGGTACACAACGGACACCGGCTGACCGCGGCGGCAGTCACCGGCGTGCGGAGCGGCTGGTCGAGCCGTTGGCCTTCTTCTTCTTCTTCTTCATCGCCGTGCTGGCCGGCGGGTCGTCCTTGTCGTCCTCGGCGGAGTCGAGATCGATCTGCCAGGTAGGACAGACTGGCTCCGGCGCCCTAGCTGGCATGTGCACCGCCTCTTCTTCCTCCTCCTTAGGCTCCCCGCCGATGACCGCCGGCGGCGCGATAGTCGTCTCCCAGTACACTGCGGCACGGCGGTCATTAGGAGCCCAGTAGGTCTTGTACTTGCACCACTTCTTCCTCTGTTTAGGGTCGTCGGAGATAGCCTGATTCATGGCCCAATGAATGATGTCAACTGCCATCGCGCCCTTCGCTGGGTCAGGAATCAGCGTCTTCAGCTCTTCTTTAGTGGCCTTCATGACCACGGCATTCGATTCATTCTGCATGTCAGCCATGGAGCCGAAGTTCGAGCACACCTCCATGGTGTTCTCGACCTTGGTCCGGTCACCAACTGTCCACCCGAGGAAGAAGGCCCTCCAGCCAATACCCCAAGGGAAGGGGTTGGCATTGGAGCTGGAGCTAGAGCTCATGGCGATGGGGAGGAAGGTTGACAGTGAGAGAAGAGAGGGGGTGGGTAAATAGTGGTGGGCAGGGTGAGTAAATATAGGGGGGTAGAGAGGAGGAGAAGAGTGACAGTCATGTCGTTTTGACTACAAGCTCTTGAGTTAGCCGTGAACTCTGTGCAATGCCTGACTCCATGACTTGTGTGCAGATCAAGGACACGGAGATGCTCCCAGCCATTGACAGCAAGGGCAAGCAGCCCATTCACCCAATGCCCGACGAGGTTGAGCTGCCGCCCATCGCCGAGGAAGACCCGAAGACGCCTGAGGGTGGCGACGACGAGGGCATGGAGGAGCCCCCCAGCAACAAGCGCCGCAACTACGGCCACTACCATCAGGAGGATGGCCCGACTCACTTCTGCAAGGTCATCCTTGCACCGAAGCTTGAGTGCATCCCCATGCCCCTGGACTTCACCAAGCACTCCGTCGCGGTGCCGACGGAGTTCAAGCTCAGGAACAACACTGGCTGCTCCTAGAAGGTGAAGGTCAAGCTGATGAACGGCATGGTGACCCTGGATCAGGGTTGGGCCACCTACGCAGTCGTTCATCAGATCAAGATCGGCTACATGGTGACGTTCAAGCTCCTCACTCCCGACACCCTCAAGGTCATCATCTTCGACGACGATGGCATTAAGGTCGTCAACAAGTGCGGGAAGCACGACGATGCCTTCGCCGCCAAGGAGTAGGGCTGGGCCACCTCTTCCGAGCGTACTATCGAATTATGCTAGTTGATGGTTTATGCGTTGAACTGTTATATCTGTGGTACTGCTTATATCTGAATTATGCTAGTTGATGCTCTGTTTATAGTCTGTTGTGCTTATGATGTGTGCTGTCGAAGTGTGGTGGTAACCTCACCAACTAGCCAAAGAGATTACCATACATCAGGCCTTGCATACAACCAAACACCATGCCTTGGGTTTGTGGACTAACATGCAGGCAACCAAACACCAGGCAGTGTGGTTCAGCCCATGCAGGTAAGAGGGCACGCAGGCAACCAAACAACATGCATATGGTGCATTTGAGGCTGCATTTGCATAGCCAGGCTGAGTAGAGAAGTGTATGCGATGCAGGCACTGTTGCACACGGCAACCAAACACGCCCCTAGAGATCCCGATGCACATGGAGATCTTTAAAAAGACCTCATGGAGGAGTGCTGGACATGGCATGGACAACAAGACACCTGGTTTTATCTCTAAGATTTCAGAGCTATTTTGCATCGAAAAAAACCGTAAGCCACTACCAAACTAGCATTGCTTTCTGAGACATGGCCATGCATGGATCACACATGAAGAGGTTCCTTGTCCTCCACGACCAGTCGACCACGGCGACGACGGGGTTGCTGACCTCGAGCAGCTGTTTCACAACGGACCTCATGGACGGCCGATCGATCGAGAGGCTGGAGGCGCAGAGGAGCGCGACGTCGAGGACCCTGCGCATCTCGTCCCTGCAGGTGCATGACTCGCCGGCGAGCCTCGGGTCGAGCACCAAGTCCAGCCTATTGGCGCCGCCTCCTCCGCAGCGCCGCTTCTTCTTCTTCCTCACACAACTCTCACTTGTAGTTTCTCTCAAGAACACACACATGATGAGAAAACTCAACACATACACACGCACACACCAAGAAAGACACCAGCACCAGCTTTGCCGAGAGCTCTTCTCCTTGGTTACACAAACACTACACTTTTTGCCCAGCCCTCTCAGCTTCCTTTTCTCATTCACTCAATGCAACATATATACACAAAGAAGGTTTGCCTCACGCACAACCCGGCCAGACCACTAAGTCACGTACGCATTAACCGGCCACTAGACCAGGCCACTAACTAGCCTTATCCTACTCCTGGAATCGCTCCAACAGCCACGACTCGGTCTAAAAACCTGAGGCATCACGTACTAACAAACTCACCCAGCTAGTACTTGTACAAGAACGTCACCTGACGTGGTTTACTCCAACATACTCCCCCTAAACCACGATCTCATCGTCGCCGGAGTTGTTGCAGCTTCTGTCATTGTCGTCGTCACGGCCATGACCCAGCCCGCGGATCTGACCCGGCGCATCGACACCGGTCGCACCGCCACAAACCCAATCTGGTGCGCTGACGCCGGTCGCATTGTGCTCCGTCACGACCCCGGCGACATACGCCGAGCTTCTTCTCCACCGGCGACACACGCCTGACGTCCCTCTGTGCCTTGCACATCCCGCGCGCACCCGACACGCCCGACGAGCCCGACCACACCAGTGCATCCCGCACGTCCCACGCGCACCCGACGAGCCCGACTGCACCAGACGCTCACCGCGCGCCGCCTCCGCGTCCGTCATGGCAGCCGCCAGCGACAAACGCCGGAAGGATGTAGCCGAACTCGAGCACGGACTCGAGCACAATGGCAACATATGCCTCCTCCCAACGTCAACCGCACGTTCGTACGCGCGTCCGCGGTCCCGACGTGCCTGACGCGTCCAGTGCGCACCCATAACACGCACCGGTCGCGCCCGGCTCGCCGCCACGGCTTATTGCACTGCATCGCTGTGGCCTCAACCGCAGCGCAGCACCTCCATGCCGCCACGCCACGCCACCACGCGGGTCCGCCGCGGCCGCCGCGGCTTCGTGCCACCCGCCTCCACGGTTGTCGCGCCGAGCCGCCGCGACCTCTGCGCCACCACGCAGGTCCTCCGCGACCTCCTTGTCTCTGCGACCACCGTGCTCTTCGCGCGCACGACGTCACACCGCACAGCCACGGACTCGTCGCGCGTCGCCGTCGCCACGCGCTCGTTGCGCACCGCAGCCGATGCATCCATGTCGGCCGCGCACGCCACCGCGCGCCACGGCCGCCCCTCGAACCTTGTGGCTCTGATATCAATGTTGGCGCCGCCTCCTCCGCAGCGCCGCTTCTTCTTCTTCCTCACACAATTCTCACTTGTAGTTTCTCTCAAGAACACACACATGATAAGAAAACTCAACACATACACACACACACACCAAGGAAGACACCAGCACCAGTTTTGCCGAGAGCTCTCCTCCTTGGTTATACAAACACTACATTTTTGACCAGCCCTCTCGGCTTCTTTTTCTCATTCACTCAACGCAACATATATACACAGAGAAGGTTTGCCTCACGCACAACCCGGCCAGACCACTAAGTCACGTACACATTAACCGGCCACTAGACCAGGCCACTAACTAGCCTTATCCTACTCCTGGAATCGCTCCAACAGCCACGACTCGGACTAACAACCTGAGGCATCACGTACTAAGGGCATGTACAATGGTTGATAAGATAGTCTTATTTTAAGTTTTGCATGTAATTAGAGATGACAAAAAAAACATGTTTACAATGGGTCATCTCTTAGCCTTATCTTCAATAATTAGTTGTTCCTAAAAACATGGTGAGACAAATTGTGCTAAGAGATCATCTCTTGTCTTCTCTTAAATAAGATAAGACAAGCCTTCTCTTATGATTTCTCTCTCCTCCACCTCATCATTTATCCTACGTGGCAGTCTTAAGATAGAACCATTGTACATGCCCTAACAAACTCACCCAGTAGTACTCGTACAAGAATGTCACCTAACGTGGTTTACTCCAACACAGCCCCTTGTCCTCGATGGCAACACGCACCCAGCTCACCAGGTCCTTGTCGCCGAGCTCCGGCCCCACGGCCCTCTTGCCAGTCACCAGCTCCAGCATCACCACGCCGAAGCTGTACAGGTCGATCTTCCCGGTAATGCACAGCGTGTACGAGTACTCTGTAGTTGAGATCATCATCAGTTCATCGGCAAAAAATTAAGTAATTAACACAAGTGGAATGAAGTTCAGCGGGACTGGCTATAAGTCAACTGACTGAAAAACAAGATTAGGGTCAGTCGACCGACCCTAACATGTTTCAGTCAAACGTGCCTCTAACCATAAGGTGCATGCTTCATTATGTTAACGCTCTTTTTTTTCTTTACCTTTTTCATCCTTTACTCAAATTGAATTTTTAAGTTGCAGGTGCATGTGTACTGACCATTCATGCATGCACGTATACTTATGAACTGTTGCTTTCATATATAAATATAAGACGATTTGAATATTTCAATAGGGACTACATACAGACTAGAATGAATGAACAAACACAGTAAAACACTTGTGGCATTGGTATTACACTTTCTAAAAAAACTAAAGTAAAATCAAAATAATTAAGTTTTCTAAGAAAGAATGAAACCCTTTAAGAAGAAAGAAAATGATAAAGAAAAAATAACTTTCAAAACATGCACACAATTTGCACGGATATTACACTTTTTGAAATATGCAAAGAATAAGCATATAATAGTGCATTTTTTGCATTCTACTATAATTTTCACAGAGTGTAACTGAAATAATGTATTTCCTTTAGGAAGAAAGACAACTAAAAAAACTTATGCACAACTTTGCATCGAAATTACACTTTATTGTAGTATGCAAAAATAATCATATAATCATGAAATTTTGGCACATATTATATAGTATTTGTTTGTATATAATTACACTCAGCCAAAAACCCACAAAAACAAAAATAACCTATAAAGGGAAGAAAAGGGAAAAAGAAAAACACATTGAAACCGAAAACAGAAATAAAAAGTGAAGCAAAAATACCCTTAAATAGCAAAGAAGATGATATAAAAACTAAAACAAAATAATGACAAAATTTGCACACAATCTACAGATGAATTGCGCTTTGTTATAATATGCAAGATAAACACATAAATACATAATAGTGATTTTTTTAAAGGCAAATTTTATAAAGAAAGTATGAATTAGTAGCACTCGTATTTGATCCATGATGTCTCTACCTCTCTCGATCAAAACAATGAATTAGTGGTATCAGTATTACCGTTTAAGAAGAATGAAAAGTAGAAAACAACAATGACAAAATTTGCACACGGTTTGAATAGAAATTGCGCTTTTTTTATAACATGCAAGAATAAGCACAAACGGTGAAATTTCACAACAAATATTCCTAAGTAGGAATGAATTAGAGGTACTGGTATTACCCTTAAAGAATAAAGAAAATGAAATAAAAACTTAAAAAGATTAAAATAGTGAAGTTTTCTAAGAAACAATGAATTGGTGTCATTGGTTTCCCGTTAAGACGAAAGGAACTGATAATAATAAAACAAATAATGAAATATTTTGCAAACAATTTGCACAGAAGTTGCGATTTTTAGTGTACATATAATCATGAAATTTTGTCACACATTATATAGTATTTGTTTGTATATAATTACACTCGGCCAAAAACCCACAAAAAACAAAATTAACCAATAAAGGAAAGTGTTAGACTATGTATAACTTCTGTACCTATGTACGTATTGTAACACAACCATTATATATAATGAGATAAGCCACCCCTAGAGGGTTGTGCTGGTTCCCAAAACTTATTGTCTTACATGGTATCACGCTAGGTTACGATCGCTTCCGCTTCTAAACCCTAATACCCGCACCGCCGCCGCCGCCGCCGCCGCCTTCACCGCCGCCGCCGCGCCACCGATCGCGCCACCGCCATGTCGAGCGCCGCCACCACCGGTTCCACTGTTGCGGGCTTCCTCCCGGCCTCTCTTGCGGCTCTGCTCAACCTCCCGCTCGATGCCGTCTCCGTTCCGGCTCCGATCGGGACAAGGAGCATCGGCTCCGTCTTCTCCATGCCGCCGGCGCCCTCGCTCGGGCGTGACCTCGTGGTCCACACCGCGGCGCCGCCGTCCGCTGCGGATTCCGCAGGCGTCGTCCCGCCGCTCCTGCCGCGAGCGGATCACACCGCCCCGCTGGCGGGGTTGGCGGCGTCCGCCCCGGCCGCGGGCCTTGCGGCGTCCGCACCGGCCGCGAGCTTTGCGGCGCCCGCCCTGGCTGCGGTCCCGCCTCCTCCCGCATCGGCTTCGGTGCCTCCGGCTGCCTCCATGGTGTTTGCACCCCAGGCAGCCTCCTCGATGGGATCGTCTTCGCCGCCGCCGTTTCACTTCGGTCATCTCATCACCATCAAGCTCTCCGCAGACAACTACATCTTCTGGCGTGCGCAGGTTCTCCCGCTCTTGAGGAGTCACTACCTGCTAGGCTACGTCGACGGATCGCTTCCCTGCCCACCCGCGCTGGTAGACAGCGTGCACGGTCCGGTCTACAATCCGGCCCATCGCGTCTGGACGGGGCAGGACCAGGCGAACCTCTCCTCCATCCAGGGGTCGCTTTCGCCGGCAGTTGCCGGCCTTGTTGTCTTCGCGAAGACGTCTCATGAGGCCTGGACCATCCTTGAGCGCACCTTTGCAGCGCAGTCCCAGGCTCGTGTCTCTGCACTCCGTCGTCAGCTTGGAGAGTGTCAGAAGCTTGACTCCACGGCCACTGAGTTCTACAACAAGGTCAAGGGCCTTGCCGACACATTGGCCTCCATTGGACAGCCCCTCACCGACTCCGAGTTCAACTCGTTTATTGTCAATGGTCTTGATGAGGAGTATGATGCCTTAGTCGAGATCATCAACGAGCGGGGTAACTCGACACCCATGTTGGCACACGAGGTTTTCTCTCGGCTTCTTCTCACTGAGCAACGAGTCGAGACTCGCCGCACCAGGGGCACTGGCTCTCTC